TGAATAATTTTCCAGGTTTCGTTTTTGTATCACTTGCTTAAAATCATTCCTGTGGTATTGTAATCGTCCAAAGAGAAATATAAGCTTCTGGAGTGGGTGGGAATCGAGACCTAGGAGAACACTATAGTAGAACATCATCATTTTTCAGATATTCACAAACATTCTCGGTGCACTCCAACCAAAATTCGGTTAGACCATCCGGCGGGATTTGAACCTCCATATGCGTACTCACCTTGTTGATTTAGTTGGGCGGTGTTGGCCGGATGGTAACGTCACTATGTTTGAGACAGGGCCATATTAAAGATAAAATCGGTAAAACTTGTTCAAGTAATCATTCATTTAACAATGTTTGCAATTACTATAGGCGTATGGTAACTACTGGCGGTCCACCAACTATCAGAGCCAGTTTGATGCCATCTGTTTTTACTTTTGAAACATTATGCCAAGAAACCGGAACCGTATGGTAGGAATTTCTACAAATATCAACTAGTTCACCGATAGTGTTACTAGGATGTAGTCAAATAATAACATATTTGAACTACGATTTTTATTATCGAAAAAATATGAAAAGCAGGACCAAAGCGAATGAGATCATCTGTTAGATTTTCAGGTACAGAAGGGGGCGGTGCAGGTTCTTTCTAAACCGTTTCACGAGAACTCTGGTATCAGTGGCTTGTTCACTGCCAATTACATGTCACAAGTAGGCAGTAGAGCCTTAAGGAGAAGATATTAGTTCAGTCGCCTTGTTGGTTTAACCTTTGAAATATGCAATCTATCTCTTTCTCCCTAATACTAATACTACTACTACCTGCTTTGTATTTTATACGTTCGATGCGAGTGGATTGCACCGTCCACTCCACCGACTCCGCTCTATTCTTATCGCAACGCTTTGCGTTATACATAAACACACAAGAGAGAGCTCATGACGGGTTGACTTGTTTCCCCTTTGGTTTATCCAAATTAATTTCCTTCTGAGCGTAATTGCAGGTCGTCAAAAGTAGACGGAAACTGCTCTAATTACTTCTTCCTCGCCGAAGTGTGAACTATAAAAAGATCAACTATTTATTTTTATCTAATACAATAAGTTCTACTGCCATTTTTTCAAGCCAGTAGAAACCTAAAAACTGAGGCCAAGTTCTTCTGGAGGAGACCTGTGCACAGAGTAAGTTGCTTCAGTGTATCTTAGAGTCTTTCCGAAAACAAAAGCGTTCATGGCTTCGTGAATTAGCGACGTTAAAGTATGCGTGACGTGAGAGAAAAATTAACTCGCCGGGGTAAAGAAGGGTAAAAGACGAAGCCATAGATTGATGCGATCCAATCAAGCATTAACTGGGGTGATATAATATTACTACTAGAAATCTAGTCTGTGAGCACAGTTTGCTCGAAAAGTCGAACTCCCCATGAATGTGAACGATAGCGGTACTTTAGCTTACTGTTGCACACTGCCCCGGAGGTCACATGTTCGATATCACCGCCAATACCTCCACTGTCAACATTAAACTCTCCCCTCTTCCTATCCCATAGCAGCTGTTTGTTTCCAACTTTCACTTTCTAGATATTGAATGTGCAATTATTTAAACCGGATATTAAATATTCTCATTGTTTTCACCATATAGTTATTTGTTTCTTGCTCGAAATGAGTGGTGCCCATGTTTTAAAGTGTTAATTTGCTTTCTGATACAGGACTTTGATAGTGATCCTATTCTTAAAGACGAGATGAAAACCCTGTTGGAATTGCTCGTCTGCTGTCCTCATCTGCTCCTGAATGATCAGAAAGCTGCTGGTCAATTGTTACGTCAAATGGTTTGTGATCAGCTTGTGCAGAATCGAATAGATTTGGACGCCATCCTGACCCCGGTACAGGTAGGCATACGATGGTCGAATGTTGCTTCCCCTGCCCCACACACATACACAGATATGCGTACCTAGTTTTCATCCCTACCTAAGATAGAGTTTACTTCACAGGTACCAAAGATGATCATTTATTGCAATTTGTAACAATGAAAACGACGATTTGTTCCAGTGACCATGCTGACAGTAAACTTGCTATGCTTCTCATATTGTGATAGGTGTTTTCTTTAGTTTATGATTGCTTGGAGGGAGATTAAAAAATGAGATTCGATTTCTTTTGGTTTGAACCAAAGTCATATCGTGTGGTCATCTCACCACTCGCTACAACAGGGCCTTAGAAGTAACGTTCAGCCTTTTAATCATACTAGTTAGAAGTCACCTGCAGTGCCTATTCACGGAATCTGCTGGTATTTTAAGCTGAGAGCGAAGGGTTGTTAATCCAACGCGGTAATGCATTGGGCTGTCCCCGTTTATCTGCATCAGCTTGCACTACAACAGTATCACGTGACACAGCAATTAACTGCTAGTGACGTCAGTAAANAAAAAGAACTTTGTCAGATGTTACTCTACTCCTTGATACATGATTTTTCAGCAGGGTCCCAGTATCATCGAAAGAGAAATCTGTTCCTACTGAACGAGAAATTGTTTAAACGAAATGATTTGACAGATGTGATTCATTTGCGGAAGGTATATCAACGTCTCACATGGCGTTACATTGATTTCTTCAATCGTTTAACTTTTTGACAGGAATGCATCTTGACAGAAAAAGACTAAATATTAAATAATGATTTCACATTGTTTTGTTTCTCACAGATTAGGCCTTTATATAACTTTTTAAGCTTGTGACATTTTCAGTAATACTAAATACCTGGGTATGATTTAACCAAAGTTTAAAGCGTGAACTAATCGGTGTGCCGTAGCAGCACATTCTGTATTTCAGTTTTTCGTTCCCTTTGATAAAAGGAAGGAAAAAGGAAGAACATGTTTTCCTCGACGCAAATCTGCATGCTCAGAAATCACATAACGAGTAGAAAATTTCATATTGTTGACGTTTTTTGTTTCCTGCACAAAGAGAAGATTCACAGAAATGCAATGTGTTCAATTTCTCAAATATATTTTCACTATACCTGATACATATTTAGTTTCGGGATGGCTTTTACTTTCCCGTATCGAATGAAAGTTTTAAATGCATTTCATCACGATGCAATAAATGTTCTTTGCAGATCCCTTCCGAGAAAAATTTCGACACCCTTTCCGCGCTGGATATATCCGAACAGCTGACATTCCTTGACTTCCAAATTTTTCGATCCATTAGAAGCGAGTAAGTTCAAAATGAACGGCTCATGTTGCAGTAATGTGTGTAAACCAACCAGCGAATCAAATTCAGCCTCATGAAACCACTGCCGCTGTTAGTATGTAAATGTCTTGTAGAGTATTGCAATGTCATTTGTGTGTTCTTCCTTGCTCAACTTTGCCGATTTACTTAACTGTCCTTCTTTGTACGTTGTTTCATCAGAGAACTACTGAACCAATCTTGGATGAAGCCGGATAAGGAGGACAAGGCGAAACATGTGCTGCTCGTATGTAAACGCTTCAATGAGGTTAGTTCCGCTCGACTCCTTGTCTGTGTCCATTTTCACTTACAAAAAGAATGGTTCGTGCACTTAAATTTTTCGGTCTCTATTGTACTCCAAGTACAGTTCAGCTAAGTTTGCACAGAATGTTGTACGGCTCAGGTCAATTCTGCATCCATTTCGGGGTGTTGCTCTTTAAGCACTTCCCTAACTGCAGATTGGTGCAGTTGGAAATACCCGTCTTTGCTTCGTGTTCCATGTGTTGCAATTTTAATTCAGACTACAATTATCAGGGTATCAATAGATCCAATTGTTTTGTGAACGCGTGCGTCTCAACCCTTGACAGACGACCACTGTCGACCAATCAGAGTTCAACTTTTCACGTGTGTAACAGATAACCCTGGGGCCAATCGACAAATGGCCAACGATCTCCTGTTAACTTTTGATTATGTGCTGGACTTCTATAAGTTGTACTAGCTTAGATGAGTTTGCCTCGTTGAAGTATACAACACAAACCTAACCTCACAAATTGAAATAACATACCTTCTGCAATTGTTTAAAAAAGTTGGTGCATAAACACTGACCATCAGTGACTCTTACCTACGCCAAAAAATTATCAAAACCATCCAAATTGTTTTATCTCTTATTCTCTACTTTCTGACCACCAGGTCAGTCGTTTGGTGGTGTCCGAGATCATTTCTCGAACAGATTTGAATGATCGTGTCAACTGTATCGACAAGTGGGTCGCCATTGCGGATATATGCAGGTGCATGCAAAACTATAACGGAGTCTTGCAAATTTGCGCGGCTCTGGTGAATAGTTCAGTCTATCGACTTCGTCGGACGTGGGAACGAGTGAGCAAACAAACGAAACAGTCCATCGATCGGTTGCAAATGTTGGTTGCTTCTGATGGACGGTTCAAGTCGATGCGCGAGGCTTTGCACCGGTGAGATTCGACTTCTATATTTGTGTCAACTGTGTGCTCAACGTCTGGCATTTCCAAAATGAACAAAAAGAGGACAGAAGCCATGAACGGACTTTATATAATGATTCAAAATCTAAATGCTGGAATTATTTCTGGATTTTTCTTAAGTCCCTGCCTAATCAATTCAGGTCACGAACAGTGTTGTCATACATCGTTTAAGACTCGTTCATCATAAGAGTCCGCTGAAGATGCATGGAGGAATTGCACAGAACTGTTTGAACTTTTTGTAGTGGTCATTGAGTACATATAATTGTGCGATGAACCTGGACAAGCCTTAAATGCTTTGTATGCGATATGTTATCGCAATGCTATCTGTTAATTAATTTTCTGTCGAAATAGAATGGACTGTCTTCCCGTATTAAACCTGCCGACAAGTCTCACATAAAGTCTCGGATCCAACGCGGTGAAAACCAAGACTGTCTTATGACACATTACTATTCTTATGAATCAAATAATGATATAATAAATTATATACATACTTTAGTTCCTAAGGTACAGTCGTTCAAGCACTTATAGAAATGAGTATGTCAACTAAGAATATGCATAGAGAACACGGTAGGTGTACGTTACATAATTTGTATCCGGATATAGTTCGCTGTATTTCATCAGGTGCATACCACAGAATGTATAATAGGCGGGATCACAATAAATTCATAATATTAAACTTAAATAAGTTCATAGCTTTCATGGGTTTTACCAAGGCAGCGCCAAGGTAACGAATAACTACTTTTGCCTACACAATCACTTGACTAGCTTGTGCTGAGGAGAGTTAGTCATTGGTAAATTGGAATCAAACATTCATATCCTATCGCCTACAATTGCCTGTCTCTCTCCCTGCCCCCCCCCCTCCGCCGCCCCAGTCAAGCTACCGTTACTACACCTTTTCAACTTCAACTAAATCCCACTACTCGCATTCTATTGGGAAACCCACAAAATGATTGATGCTTCAGCCGGTACACGTCACCGATTGGATCGTGTCTGTCTAAACCCTGCCCAATTCTGAATGAACTGACTTTTCCCATAGACAAATAAAAGTTTCATCAACTCAAGAAGACATAGGTGTACAAAATTTATATTGGCCATGAATTTCGCTTGCTCTCATTCAGCTGTAAACACAAATTCGTATGATCATGTAAAACGAAGAAACATAAGAGTTGAAATGAGTCATTTGAACAAAGCGGTGGAGAAGTGATTTGCGTGATTTGTGTTTGATTAGGTGTTGAGGTCCTGTTACATGACAAAATTTGATATGGTGGTGAACTGATCCGAACGATGTGGTGAATGCCGTGGAGGGAGGGGAGGAAAGGCCATGTCACGTCATGCTATGTGGTACGGTTGGTCTCAAGTGTGATATCATCACTACCACGGCAAAAGCGGTTGCGTCACAAATGTTTTTTGAACACATAATTGTGGTTTCAAGTAATTAATTATTATTACTGCTATCACTTCTAAGAATCGCAAAGTCCTTGAACTTCGAAGCCTTGCAATAACGCGAAACGTTTTGGGTGCGTCTACATGGTGACCGGAATCTAACAGATGACGGGCAAGCGCACTAGATGGTAGTTTCTTTCCGCGAAGACCAAGGTGTTTCGAAATATGTTCACACATTCTGATTGATAAATGACATCCTGTCTTTCCGATGTACCGCTGACCGCAAGTACACTGAAATGAATAGATGCAGTTAGAGGTAACAGTAACATCTTTTCGATCCAGATTAGCGTGTGTGAGACAACGAAACGTCCCATAGACAATCATTAGTCTTGCAACATTGTACGTCCTTTCGACGGCGTGTGTTAAACGTGGGGATATTTTTGTTCTTGCATCATCTCCCTCGAAAGGCAGTTCTATATATACATATATACATCTTAGCCGACAGAGAATTTGGCTTGGCGTTGAACCGCTTGCTGTACTTGTGAATGAATTTGGTGGGATAACCATTGTCTAGCAAAGCATGGGTCAGTCAGTCTATACCTTTTCAACTTCAAGTGAATCCAACCAATCGCACTCCATTGGAAACCCCACAAGATTATTGGTGTTTCGGTCGTCGAATGTCACCGATTGGGCCGGGTCTGTCTAAATCCCATCCAATCCGAATGAAACTCACTCCCCCGTAAACAAATAAAAGTACTTTTTGAGTGAGTTACTGAGCGAGAATGAATGTTTCGGTGGGATGAGGTGGACCGTTCTCACACACACACACACACACACACACACACACACTCGTTCCACCCGGGAACGTTATGTTCGTGATCGTTGATCGAGTGTGTGATACGAACCCTGAGTTAATTGACCTCTGTCGGTCGGGTAAGGAAGCGAATCACTTCAAGATGGATCGATGAGTCGGTCACCATGTCCAGACGTGAATGTGAGCATGATTTATTGCATGAGTGGAGTCAGTCTAAGCCCTCGATAACCCAATGAGTAAGTTCCATTGAGGCAGAGTTTCTCTCAAATAAAACCGATTCCTTTAAGTCAAATGCGATTGCTTACGTATTTCTGGCAATGAAATGCACACTTGACAAGATACTGAACAATGTTAACGAGATCCAATTCGAAACTATTCACTAGCTAAAAGAAATTATACTTTTCTCAGTCATTCAATCCACAGTACCAATGGCGACAATCTGTTACCCGCGGCTTCTCCCTTCGCTACTCAGCTTCATCGCATAGGTTCTTATCTTTATTGAATCATCGCTCAACCCGTCGCATCTTTTCACATACTGATTATATCTGTGCGATCATTTATAGTTAAGTGAATGAGACAGGTGAGGATATGAATGATATACATTTATCCATGATCCCACAAGCGATGGTAACTCTGTACTGGGTCCTCCATCGGGTATTAAGTAGAGGTCGGTAAAATATTCTACCCATGGTTGTCTTGATACTCAATGTCGAATGAGAGAAAAGATTCAGTGGGACCGCGGATGCCACTTCGAAGTATATTTTCCTTGTGTTACCACGAAAAACTGGTAAACTAGCTACCTACCATACATGTGGAAAGCAGTGACATTTGCTGCGTTCAGTCAAACTGTGACATGTGTCAACGTCGATTATGCCATCTCACTCTCAGACAAAGACCAGTGTTTACGTCACCCACATACACATGCACAAACACGGGCGCTCATCCGCTCGCACACGCACACAGGCACCACGACTCATTCCTATTGGTTGACCTGTTAGTCATTGTCCTACTGTAAATTGTCACGTGATCCATTCAGTAAAGCTACGTGCTCTGGACTATACGTGTTCTGTGCCTTGTCCTCCGGGCTAACTACGGGTAAACCTGATTGAGACTGTAACACAAACCGAATATGTTTTGTCTTCTTTCGTTCAGTCCATTTTACAATAACTGACAACTGAGTTGTTTATAACGAACAGCGAAAGGTCGAAACAGAGCGGTCAGTTTCCGCACCAGATACACGGACGATTCAGGAAGTGTGTGGATCGACCAGGGAGCTGTGATCACACACTGCCATCTGACACCATTTAATCGAATATAAGGGCAAGCTAAACTTTTTCTCAACAATCTGTTTTCAGCCTAGTGAATCACCGGGTATGGCACAAACAGATTCTTAGGTATGCTTTGATATAAATTAAAATGGAGTGAAGACTTAGCTGTTACCACGGCCACATGAATGATTGAACAGTGACACCTTTCGCATTGTCAACACTTTATCATTTGCTGCGTCTATCCACACTTGGTTTATTCATTCCATTCTAACATTTCCCATGTCCTGTCCACTTCACAAATGTTACCTGGTTTTGTCCTATTCATTTATACTTATGCGATTCCCTCAACGTTACCCATCGTCTCGGCCCCCTCACCCATGACCTTAAACAAGTAAATTCCCCCTGACCCTTTCCGAGATCTGATTGGATCATATTCCGCGATCTGCGGTGCTTGAAATCCCTCACCCCAACACGGGACTGTCTGATTACCGGTTTGTATGTTTTGTAATGATGATTTGTAATGTCGTTACGTCCAGTCCATCCGTGTGCTGATAGCACCCCTGCTGCACAGCCGACATTCACTGGGCCTGTCTGAGTCTTACGGCTGTAAACAAGGTGTGGTTTATCACTCGGGTTACCTGGGCAAGTACCAGGTCCCTTGTTGCGGCTGAACCATTCGACCGATCGATAAATGAACTCGATCAGTCGTGTGTTTTTCGGGCAGGCACAGGAGAAGGATAGGTTCCGAGTCCGATGCTGTCTAAGTGTTGGCAGAGAATGACCACAGTAGAATCAGTTGTGGAGCGGTGAGCCATGTGCGAAATTCGGAATGGAAAATGCTTAGGCGATTATGACACTGGGCCAACGCGTGACTCGTCCATGATACACGCACTATTTTTCGAAGCGGGTTCGGTAAACAGATAATCATAATAAAACTGAACTTGTCTTAAGAACGGACAACAATATCCTCTAATGTAGGCCCACGTGAAACTCTTCTTAGTTTTTCCCAACTGGTTGTTTTCGCGTTGAACTATCTCACTGACTACGTCGGAGATAGGATTCCGAAAGAAACGAAGAACAAATATTACGGAGAAAAGTATATTCATATTATAAAAGTTGTTTCATATGTTTTCCAATCTGCTGCTTGCATAGCAAAATCCGGTGAAGATAGTCTTCTTCCACCTACAGAATGGTAGCAGTTGGAATAATTTCGCACTGCGCCACACTACTCTGTTTAAGCTCCTCGATCGTTCTCGGTTTTCGGGAATAAACTGTTCGCTTTAGATATCCCCACAGAAAGAAAAGTAATCCTAATATGCTCAACTTTCCTCGGTTTGTCTGTCACGCCAGGTGTTACAAATCGCCTTCGTTCAGCTGACTAATTGAGTGATTTTGGCTAGTCAATTTTGGGAGGGGATGACGACTCATTCGAATCTATAGCAATTTCCTGCCACAAATTGACACACTTTGTTTGTTTGCCGTTTCGTTGTTTAAAAGAATTTCTTCCTTTTT